GGCATCAGCAACAACCACTGGTTCGGTTTGTAAGCTGCGCATAGTCTTAGTGTGTTTATGACAACAAACATTAAACCCTTGTCATAATTTATGCTGTGATGTTGGAAAATTTGTCTTTGAAAATGTAGCTTCGAGGGACGTTTCAGATTGCTGTCGTTTGGAGCTTACGTGCGAGTGGCGCGCGTGGTGCAGGTTAAACCTACTCTGAAACTGCAAATGATCAGTGTATTTATGCACGAGCGATATAAACGTAGTCGAGAAGTAAGGACTACTGTCTGTAGTTGTCGTTGGAAACGAATGAAATAGTTAGCATTCTTGTCACTTGGAACGCGGTCGATTGTTTCCGAGTTGACTCTCCTCGCACAAAGACGATCGACACCGAACGAGGCACGTCATGAGCGCCAAAGGACAAAGCCAGACCACATTATGGGTGCACTTGCGCGAGTGGGTGGCGCGATATCGAGCCTCCTCGAGCGAACGAGCCCATCGAACGTAGGTACCAACAGCACCTAGTGGGCGCGTGGCTTTGATGAGCGCGACATGGCGCTGCCTTGTCTACTGTATATACCACTAAACTTGAGCTCTTGAAGCTGCGCCCAAGAACGGCCCAATCGAGTGGCGCGAGAGCGTTTCACCAGCAAGTTGAAGTTGAATGTGACGTGGCAGCACCAGAAGGCTCTTGTCACACATCACATATTTGCATCGGCCGCAGTCGCTCAGCCAGCAATCGCTTGCCAATTTCGCTTGCCCATGCTTGTATTCAATAAGAATTGTTGCTTCACGGGTAGTGTTGTCCATTCAGAGCGTGACGACTTGGCCGCCGCTGGTTTTTAGTTAACAATAATGACGAAGCGGACCCCGCATTACATGTACCGGTACTAGGAGTGCAGGTGGAGTCCTTTGACGGAATCCCTTCGAGCCTCGTACTCCCTGGTCTCTTGGCAGTATGGCTATTCGCAGCCACCGTGAGTCTTTTGCCCACTGAATCGAATCCAAAAGAAGCGCTGCGATACGTGTCCGTCGGTTTCTCGGTGGTAAATGACCGTATACTCAAGGTCGGTCGATCGAAGGACGGCTCGCGGCGCCGGCGGCGCCTCACATTGAAGCCCGGAACTTCAAGGACACGTAACAGCAATGAGAGTCTCGAGCGCGGGAGCCAAAGACAAATTGTGGCCAAAAACCCGCACCAACTTCAATCTCGACTTCAAACTTATCCACATTTTCACCTTCCGAACAAGCACGCTGCAGCGTCGAGCCAGGCATCGAATTTGCCACGTCATGGTGTGCGAGCCGAGGAGACGCCACGTGCGCAATCGAAGAACGCTGCGCGATGTACTTCCGGTAGCCAGCTCCGGTAGCCTCATGCACAACGTCGTCGTAATTTTGTTGACGAACCTACTTTAACCCACATCGCTTGCTAACCTGGTCGCTATTACGTTATTTTGTCGAGCAATCCAAGTCTTTCACGCCGCATTCACTGGCTCCCAACGCCCGGCGCGCATCGCCGCAAGACGGCTTCAACAAGGCAATATCAACTTGTAGAGGTTAAGTCCGCTGCCTGTAGCACCGCCTGCGAAAAGGACGACCCAGCTGGTTCGACACCAAGCCCCCTTTGCATACAAACCGCAAGTGATTCGAGGAAGCGGGGCGTGCACGCGACCTGCGAAACGCGCCGTGTACCACGAAGATCGGGTCGTTTGTATCGGCACCATCCATAGTACAGGACCATATAGTTTCCACCTTTTTCTATCTCATCAATCCAAGCTCGAGGCTTCTATGACGCTCGCCAAAAACCACTCGAAGCCAACCTCATCCCAAGCATACGGTGCCAACCCAGTTCGACCAAGCGATTCACCACAACTCGTTTTGCTCTCCAGCAACTACACCCGACCATGGAGACGACGTACCAAGAGTCGATTGACGTCAAGGAGAAGCACCTCCAGGACGAGGGCGAGAACGAGATCCCGCAGCACATCCTCGACCAGATCAAGGAGTACCGCAACGTCATCTACTG